TGAACCAACTGCCAAAATCAGTGGGAAGGCTTTGCTACTTTCAGTAGGTGCAGATCAGACACAGGGGACGCTGCCTTTCTCCCAGTCTGGCCCCTCAGCGGCCAGTGTTGCCACAGACTTCAGAGGGTGAATTTTGACCTGGGAGTTGGACCTGGCTCTGCTCCCATCTCTGCTGTTGCTCTGCTGGCTGAAATCTGGCAAGCATTCCCAACCTTGGTCTCCCTATCTGCACAGCATAAAAATAAACAACAGAAACTTCTTGAACTCAATAGCTGAAAGCAGGTTAGACAAAGCCATGTAAACCGTCAGAATCCGGCTCTGTGAGATCCCAATGTGTTCTCTAGTTGTCTTCTGTCAGCTTCCAAGCACCAGCTCCAGCAGAGCAAAATACAATAATTTATAGACACGTTTATAATCTGACAGCTTGATATGCATTAAACAGGGAGCAAAATTCATGCTCACCTTTCTAATGCCGCAGGCTGGCGCACTGGTGTCTTAATAGATTATCTACTTCTGTTGCTTATTCCTCACCTGAAGACCTGTTTCTAACACCTGTTACACTAGCTACTTTATAAATGGTGAGAGCCATCAGTTCTCATGCTCCAGGGCACAAGCTGATAACCATCTGCAGAAGAAATCCACTCTCTGTTCCCTTCTATTCTTGTGCAGCAAAAACAAGAACGCGGGCTGATGGGGTAATTTACACCCTGAAGTAGCCAGTAAACTTGTTTAGGTATGTTCAAGCACTTACACACTTAGGCACAGACGCACACACACAGAGCAGAAAGTATTGGTCTGCTGAAGAGGAGTTAAAGCTGATGGTCTCTAAAGAGTTCATTCCTTTTGACAGCAGGAAACTGTCAACTTTCCGTCAGGAAAGTTAAGCATGGGCAGGCTTTGAGGTTGGAAAACCAAAGCGCTCTGCTCACCTAGTATAACCTTCTGCACATAAAACTACACAGCTAGCTATATTTCCATCTGACCACAAACTTCTGGTGGGGTTACAACTTTGTTTTTTGAAGAGATGTAGAGAATCTTTGAATCTTGCAAAGCACTCGTATTCAACATCTCCTTTGCTTTGGAAGACAAGGTATGCGTTTTACAGTATGAGTTGCTATGTACAGTGTACGTAATAGATACTTCTAAAACATGAAGTGTCATGTACCATAGGCTGTTTTCACCTTGACTCATTTTGGAACAATCTGAAGACACAAATCCAATGCAAAGTGTGATGTACAGTACCATTGAGAGCTGCTGTTTCATTTTAGTTTCAATATGAGGATGCAGCCACACGACAGCATGCATGACAGAAACAGCATTCACAGTAAGTTTCATCTAACTTTTTGTTCTGTTTCGGCTAGGCACTCCATCCTTACGCCTGGCTGCCTGGCAGGCAGGATGATGAGGCTTTCTGCAGGGCAGACAGAATTGTTCTCACTCCCACGCTGAAAACGACAGTGCAGATGGGCAAACAGCAAAGGGGCAGCGCATGCAAATCAGCAGCTGGTTTCTAAATACCCTGGGACAGATGCATCATCACTGGCAGCATCAGGCAGGCCAGCTCTGACTATGGGACAGCACTTGAGCCTTTAGTGGGAAAACAATGCTGGAGAAGCTCAGAAGACTTGAATGCTTGCTACCAACTAGCTCTTCAAGAAGTTAAGTTCTCCTTTTTGTTACCAATTA